TTGCTGCTCCAATATTTTAATTGTATTTTGTTACGTATCTTACTCATATCTTGAGATACTGCTGGATCAATTTGATTATATAAAAAGTATTATTTTAATAGTTTCGCTGCATCAAGTGCTTGTTTGATGCTTGGTGGAGGGACAGGATCGTCTTCTTCAACAACGTACACAGCTGCAGTTCTTATCTATTTCGGCAACTTAGAAAGTATTGCTTAATGATTTATAATGCCGCATTGTTGTCGTTAAATAGAGTGAGCGTGACGCTATACAGAGTGTAATATTGTATAGAAAACAACAGCCAACCAAAGTCAAGCAATTTCGACGTTTTAAGGAGTTTGTCGTTAAATCGAGTGACGTTATAAAGAGTTTACACTGTATATTAAAAGGACAATAATAACATCAATAAAATTTTACCGGATCGATGAAAGCTAGCGCAGGTACCTGCAACAATATGAAGCTTTGCAACGGCAATTCCATTTAAATTGTGTTTTGAAAACGGACAACTTCAGCCAACAGATAAATGTAATAAATTTTTACGACTTGTTTTACTGTTCCAATATATGGATTTTCAAAAAGATGATAAATAAGATTTTGTTAACTGACAAGTTTCGGTTATAAAAGTGCGGAACCAGAGCAGAAGCGGATGTGAAAATGTATGCGGAACTTCGTAATTGCGGAAGCCGAGGCAGAGCTCTGTTGCAACACTGGCGTAAAGACCCGAATCGGGACAGTATCAGTTCACCCACTGGCCGTGAAAGCCTTTACCAGTTTGCCAAATAGAGTTGCTTTTTAATGCACTTACTTCCAAATCTGTTGCACTAGACCTATAGAGGCTCGTTCTCTTTTCATATACGTCATCAGTTCGTCGGCGTCGTTAGCGAACATTAAAAGACTCATGTTTTTCGCAAATAAATTAGACAATGTTGCCGATGAGAAGAATAAAAAGATCATTTTACAGAATATCATTAAAAAGAACATTAGAATTAACAATATCGAGTGATCGGGGAAAACATTTGGCAATCCCGTCGAAGTTATGCAACCAATGACGATTCGATTAAAATTAAAAAAGGCAAGTAATTTGAGAGAAAACGGTTCGTTATGCCAGTTACATTTGAACAGCGTACTCTGACTTTGATCGTCAAATACTACGAAATTGTAGTCAGGATAAAAACATGAGACGTTTGCAAGCAAAACTGACACCATCATAATAAACATTTCTAAGCAAAACAAACTGTAGATCAAGTTAATAGAAAATATGCTGGCACTCAACTGCTTTCTTTTCTTTCTTAACAGGTCCACCACAAAATAAATCTATCAGAAAAAAAAACAAGTTTAGTTAAAAATTTCATATGGAACACGTAGTGCTGAATTGATCCTAGAAAATACCACAAATGGCGCGGTAAACGCCATCTGTAGTACGATGCTACGTTTTAGGATTACGTATGCTCCAACAAGGTCCACATGTGTGGGTACCTACTTGCTGAAACGAATCCCGGCGTAGCTAACCTCAACGTGATAGGCACGTTACCATAATCGAATAAAATAATTGGAAGTGGTTTGTATTCTGTCGAAACTGCCAGACGCGGATAGCGATTTCGACCTTTTTGGATCTCATCAGCGCGTTGCAGACAGATACGACAGAACACAGACCAACTTTTACCTNTACAACAAAAACTATTCCGGCTTTCAAGCATCAATCCGAATCAATAAAATTAAGTTATTTATAGTGCTTTGGTTTATTTGCAAAAGTTTAATGGAATTTGGAATATATAGAATTTATTACCACCCAGTTAATCATTAAACGCTAAAAATATACGCGAGAACAGTACGAAAATTTATACATACGTGATTTTGACCTAAGTGCATTGAAGAAGATTTTTTACGTGTCTCAAAATGTAATATGAAAACTTATTTGTTTTATTAATTTCATGAACGAAAGTCTTGCTGAGAAATCATAACGTAATGTTTTATTCAAATTTCTATGAAAAGTATGATAAATATTCTTATGAAGAATTAAATTAGATTTCTTTGCTTATTTCCAATTTCTCCGGGATCATTGTGGAAACGACTTGAAGAAATTGAGCTTAACAATAAGGCCACCTACATAGCATTGTTAGCTGCTCATATTAGCTGACAGCAGGTCGTGGATTCAAAAGTTAATTTCAAATCTTTAGCAATGTAGGGCGAATGCGTTGGAGGAAGATACGGACGGCTGTGTGCACAAAAGAGAGATTTTAAAACAGAACTTCATTTTAATTTACTTTATTTCTACTGGTTAATCCTACAAGATTAACTCCACTGAACAAGGAAGACTGATCAAAGTTCAAAAAATCTGTTTAACTTAATTTTCTATGTACTATTAACAAAATAAAAATAATTCGCTAGCGTGAAAAACGAAATGAAAAGATGAAAACAAGATCTGGGTATAATAGTATATTAGGTACCCTTCCAGATGTAAACTGCCACCTGAGGAGGAGTGCCGTATTTTCTTACCAAGTCCCCTGTACGATTGCTTACTATATTAGATATATATTGCCCCGAATTTACAATTTTTCCTGCTTTTAGGGATGAAAAGTTTCATGTAGTTTCTACCCTCGTATTCGGTTCTGGTAACAATAAAAGCCCTCCTCAATAACGAGTAGGTAAATGAGATTTCTTATCCGAGAGGGAATGATTTGATGAATTTAAATTAAACTTGTTCACTTCGTTAGTGTTGTCTTTTCTCACCGTAACCGTACGATCCCAAGCAATCAAGCATGTCCAATAAGTGTATTCACCGACGAATGATTTTATTTTATTGCTTAGGATCATAAAACCTGTTTGCAGAGCTTAAAAAATGCAAATCCATGTATGCGAAGACGCGTTTAGCCGCTCTTACACGTACCTTACGCGTTTATGAAATCGTACAAATGGCGCGGTAAACGCCACCTGTAGTATCATGCCACATTTAATGGAATTCAATATGTTTAAGAAATGGTATTTGATTTTGGTAACGTGCCTATCACGTATGGTAGATATCCATCTATGTTGAACATATTAAATTCCAATAAATGTAGCATCATAGTACAGATGGCGTTTACCGTGCCGTTTGCAGGATTTCATTAAACGCTGTGCCAAAACAGCAGATACAGTTGGCCTGTGTTAGGTTGAAGATGTCTGTGACGCGCTGATGAGAGCTAACAAGTTCGAAATTTCGACAAATTACTAACTATCATGAACTTTGGATTTTTTTGAAAAGAAGAAATTTCCGATCCTGCATCGTCAACGAAAATATTTTAAAGTGCGTTATATGTAAAGTTTCCGGCTGGAAAATGGCAGCTCACCTACTCATTTGCATTCTCTTTATATAGATCTGCATTTCAGGTTCAAAGTGCATCTGAATTATTTGCGGAAATATGCATACGATGCATATTCACATTGGATATAGCTCTGAATTTTCATTCGATGCAATAAGGTATTTCTACGGGAAACGGCGGGATGGAGTCTGCAAAGGTCAAATGCAGATTTTTAATTTTAACTCATGTTGCTCGCTTTAGAATTCGTATTACGAAATCAGCAGGACTTCAATAACTGACCTATTATTTCCTGTTCGTAATGGTGAATTTTTTAGAATTGTTATCTAACGGCGGTAGTTCCAATTGTCGCAAAGGAGAGGGTGGGAAACCGGAAACGCAACACGAACGATGAAAGAAACAGAAAACAAAGAGCCCGGGGTCGCATCTGTCATAAGTCTTTTCTATTTTAGTCAATATTTCTGGCATTGTTGATTGCTTTCGTTTACGTCCTTCCAGCACTTTAACAATGATTTATTCATTGTATTCCGAACTCTCTACTATTTCGTTTTCGTTTTTTTTTTGCTATTTAAATTATAAATTAGATGAATGTACATTCTGTCCACTATCCCATTTCGATTTCGAACCATCGTCCATTCATTCTCGGCTAACCGGCGACACAATTACGTCAATATCGACCACGTAACCGTAGGTACATTTCAACCCCCAAATGCGCTCCGCTTTCATTTGCGTAGGAGCGGAACTCCCATCAAATGCCGCTGCCCTGCCGCCTCTTCACTACAAATAAAATTCCATCAGCATCGCGGTTACGTAATTCGAGTACAAAAACGTTGAAGATAAAACTCGGTTGTTTATATGAAGAGGCGTTCTCCGTATACTTACTTTGTTTTATTTAAAAAAAAAATTGGACTTTATCTGTCTCACTGTATCCAGTGAAAATGGCGATAATATTAGAGCATCTTCGACTTGACAGTTGTACCTACTAGTAATGGAACCCTTTATATTTTTGTATATATGTATATGGGTTAGGGGGCTGTGCATCGGATCGACCGGTTCGTTGTGTAGTCCCTGTATTGAACGGTTAAGGGTGTAGATAGGCCCGAACTTGGGGGTTACTCGCCTCGTTAACCCTCAGGCACCGCATCGGTGGCTTCCTGGGACCAATCCGTCTGACGGAGGGGAGACCCCAGGGAGTCCTTCTTCATACCATCATGGCTCAGCTGTGTTGGTTTGACGTGTGAATTTACCATCCGTGGTGAGGAGGCGCACGTTAAATCTCCATACGTTGTCTCATTACTAATAATGATCGCACATTGGTTCGACGACTCTGCAATCTATATAGGTTCGAGTTCAATTCCCGGCGAGGGCGTGACAGTAGCAACTATTTTTTTTTCATTAATTTCAGGTTATATGTAGTGCGTAAAGTTACTTAGAAACATTAATTCACTAAATCAGTTCTATCTACCATTATAGTATTTTTGGATTGCTGATAATTCATTGTCTTTCTGTCCTTTTCTAACGGATCAATTAGATACGTGTAGCTAATTTATATATTTTTTTATGTCGCAGGTAATTGTGTGACAGGTGTAGAAGGAAGTTGGTTAATTAAGTCCCACCGTCCCCATATGCCATGCTGTCAAATTCATCGGAGCTGACGTTGAGCGTAGGGGAGCAAGTTTCCCCCGTGACCTTAACCGCAGAATGGCCCCGAATCGTTCGGCTACTCCTTCTGGCATCCCTTGCTGCCATTGGCAGTATCGGAAACGTATTCATGATAAGCGCCGTCATGATAGATGATTATTTACGAAAAAGAGGTAAGTGGTTGTGAGATTCATCATCGTCAGTAGGTCGTCAATCCTAAGCGTGGTAGGACACGCACCTTCACTTTTTCCTATCCTGAGCTAATCTTCGCATTTTCCTTAAAACCAGAAATCTAATCCAGTTCTATTTCTACTCCTCTTAATTCCTGTTCTTCTGCTTCTAATGTATCACTAACTAGCCCTTCATGCTTGAGGTGTCCTACCAATATATCTATTGAATTCCATAATGACCTCTCTTCTCCTATTCTTTGTAATATCTCCTCACTTCCAACCTTCTCTATCCACGACATCCTCATCATTCGCTTGTAACACCACGGGTATGTTCTGAAATATAACCCAGCGTATTGGCCAGTGCTGATGACATCATGAATCGACGCCATATTGTACTGGCGTTCCACCATATTATACTGGTGAGACAGGTGTGACGGAGGAGTATGTCAAACGGGGTGTGTATTTGCATCAGACTTTAAGGAATTTTTTATTGTAAGAAACTTTAATAACTTTTGGAGTAAAATTGTCGTATACGAGCACTATTCTCAATATGGCGTCAATTTTGACGCGTCAATCCACTGGCCAGTATATTTCGGAACGAATTAACAGTATGGCGTCGATTTATGACGTCATCAAACTAATAACACACTTTTTATAATCAACGATCAAACTCTTTTATTACAAAGAATTCAATCTTATTGTATAACAAACTTAATTGTCCTGTCGCATCTCATATACTGTCTTCTTTGGCTGCCAATAAACCCAAACTTTGTGCTATAGCTTGAGATGCAGGAAAAAATTGTAACAAATGACACCACGAACGGTAACCTAGCATTAATATAACCGAATATTTCTTTGCTCTGTACGTATAAAAATGTCCTTTTCTTGGATTAAGTCCCTGTTCAAGACCAAACATTTCACCATCTGTCAATTGTTTCGGTACCCTCCCGGTTGTCATAGAGTCTTCGTTGATAACTTCAACAATGCCTTATAGAAAAAAAAAAACACCGAATTACAGACATTGCTTCTTTCTTTTAAGTAACTTTTAAGTATGTGGAAATTTGAATTTCAATGTGGAGTAATGTATAATTGAATATTGAATTATTACATCAAAAATTTTGTCACGAATAAAAGATATAATTGAATGTTGACTCTTCTTTACGAAAAATAAATAAATTTTGCTGCAATATACGGAAGCGATTTACGGCTTAATAATTAATATCAGTATCGAAATATGTTGGGAATTATTCAAAAGGTTGCACCCCCTTGATCTAAACATGTTTATTCGTACCGTCGTGGATGAAGTACATTTTCTCGTCAAGGTCGTTAGCAAAAGTTATGGTGTCCCCAGCACAATAAATTCGTTGTTTAAATGAAGCAGCCATTTGTCTTAATAGATCTAAATGAAAACGGCCAAGTACCGGGTGGTTTTGCAAGTGATAACCAAATAAGGAATTCAAAATCGCCTCTTTCAGATAATACGGAGTGCGCTCCAGTAAACTAGGCATTTGCTCCCCTTGATTATTTTTCCACAACAACCAGATGTAACTGAAAAGAACTCATGCACTTATGATACAGATATTAATTAAATGAGGTGTTTAATAATAAATCGTCATGGCATACAGAGCATATAGAGTTAAACTGATGCTGTCTTGATTTGGGTCTAAAGTAGCGATGCAACGGATGTGCCATAACGGAAACAGAAGTAACCAGTAAATTTTTGCGGATGCGGATGCGGATGCGGATGCGGAAGTGTAATGATTTTAGGTGAACCTTAAATGCAGTGGTCGTGAATATTTTGTTACAAATTTTGCATTTAGCACTTGTATTGTTCACATCGACAAAATATTCTCAAATGGAACATCTTTTTGGCTTCAAAATTACACATAACTTAAAATTTACATCACTGAGCAAATACTATACAAAGTAAATAAACGCTGTAACAGAATTAATATTTTCGAAATGCAATTAATAGGAGAACTTGCTAAGGGGGAGCTGCAAGTCTTGGACGTTTTTAGATTAAAGTGAGAAACTAATAAGAGAATAAAATTTGGAAAATATCAACATACGAAATAATAGAATATAGATTCGGTCCCTAAACTGTAATAAAGTTAATTGCACAAGGACATTATCATCATAGGGTCGTCAGTCTTAGACTAGTTGGACACGCACCTCCATTCTTTCTTATTCTGAGTTAATCTTCGCATTTCTCTAAAACTAAAACAACCCACATCCTTAACTATTTGCGAACAGTAATCTAATCTTGGCCCACCTCTACCCCTCCTAACTCCTGTTTCTGCCTCTAATATGTCTCTGACTAGACCTTCATGCCTGAGAAGGTGTCCTACCAACCTATCTCGCCTATTTTTTATTGACTTCCAT